TGGAGGTGGTACCGATGGTGGTTCTGGTTGACTGGGTCCTGGATCAGGCGGCGGCTCTAACTGATCACCGTCTCCTTCGCCCTGCCGTTCATCCTCCTCCGGCTCACCCATCTCCAGATCTTCGCCCTCATCTGACGTAGGTCGATAGGACATCTCCTCACCATGAGCTTCCAGATCCTGAGCCAGGTCATACTCCACCTCCCGAAGAGCCTCCTCTTCCTCGAGTGTAGGCCAGTCCTTGTCTGGGATCACCTCCAGCTGTTCAACCTCGTCCCATGGTGCCTCCTCCATGACCGGCCACGTGTATGCTCCAACCAGGAGGTACTTCTTGAGGTCGCCGTCAATGTCATGGCCGAGCACAAATGGTCCAGTCAGATCCAGCGACAGCACACACGGAGCCGCTATCCCTTGAGCTCGATGTGGTCGATCCCTTGCCGCTGCTCTCTGACAGACAGCGCAGTCTCTGCGGAACGGCACGTGTCCCTGTGCCAGGTGCTCCTGCCAAGACAAGGCCTTCATCGTCACCCGCCTCTTCTGGATGTTGACAGTGATGCTTCTTGCAATCTCTCGCATCATTCCGGGGGCCCATCTCGCCAGCTCGGAGCTCGACACCTCATGCTTGGTCTTCAAGAAGGCCTTGGGCGGGCCCCGATCCTCGGGAACCATGAACTCCATGTTCAATGCCAGTGAGGTAGGTTTCACCGCCATACCACCATAGGCACCCTGGTTGAAGGTCACCATGTCCAGGTTGAGATGCTCTTTCATTACCCTCCACTCTTCGGTTCTCCAGAAGGATGCCACTTCCGGCATGTGCTGGGGCGCTGCAGGCTGCTCCATCAAGAACCTGACCGTTGGCAGCAACGCAGAATTCTTCTCCTGGGACAATCGTGCATCTCGACCCAGCTTTGCCACCACATAGAGCGTCACCATACGCAACAGCAGCACATCGTCCAAATGGCACTTTGCCCTCTCCACTTCATCCAACTCGTCCAAGCCCCAGGGTCTTCCCAACGATCTCGATGGCCCTGGTAGTCCCGTGACCGGATGATGTCGTAGTTCACTGCGGGTCCTGCAGTTGGGTCCACCGATCACCGCATCAATCCAGCCCAACATCGCAATCCTTAGCAGTGCTGCGTACATTGCATCGTCCTTTGACATGTCATGACTTTGGTTTCGAAGGATATCCACCTCCAACAATCTCGTAGTGTCTCCGCCAGCCTCCTTGAGAGCCCTTGTGAGATCGTAGCCCTCATTCTTCCCAGCGTAGAGATGAACCACCACACCCTCATTTTTCCAGCGCTTGCGGATGCGTCGATTGACTCCAAGGACCTCAAGATTCCTCCTTGATTCGGATCGGGACCTTGTCGAAGATCGGACAATCTGCCACCACCCGGTCCAGCCAGTCGACGTCATTGTGAGCCTCCCCAAATCGGTAGCACCTCAACGCCGTTCTCGACCGAGATTCCTCCAGCTCCCTGATGAGGTCCAACGCAACATCATGGTCCATTTGAGGACATCCCGCCTCAACTCTGAGGTCAATGTTGCCCTTGACTGGGTGCTCCAAAGTGCAAGCTTCCCCCATCCACTCGATTCGACACCCCAAGTCGCGGACAAGCCTTCCGGCCGGGACGATCGGCTCCACGTTCTCATTGTTGTGGACCAGCGTCTCCCCTTCTGTCATTCGGATGTCTTGTGCTCCTCCGGCAGCCAACGTCACCCTCACCTGGCGATATCTCTGAAGGTCTTCTCCTCGGAGCTTGGGCCTCAGAGCGTGCGTTGCCCCAGAATCCAGAAGTCCCTCTCGACCTTGTTGGACTCGAGCTATCTTGACTGCCCGTAGCTCTGGGCCACCTTTCTCCCATGCTCGATTCAGCTTCTTCAACGTCGCACCAAGGTCCGTTGCACGATCTTGCCCTTCTTCTTCGAGGTTCATGCCCTTGAGCAACTTGTGCGCCTCATCAAGCACATTCTTGATTGGGTCTGCAGTTCTTGTCGCTGCATCCGATGCCGCCTCTGAAGTCACCGACTGCGAGGACGCTGCTTGAGGAGAAATTGAAGCCCCCGACTCGCTCCGCGAGGTCCCATTTCCACCACCACCAGTTTTGTCCAGCAGCTTCTGAAGCTTCGGTTTCTGGCCAGATGGAGGTCCTTCTCCCTTCTTTGCCGTCTCTTTCCTCGGACAGTCTCGAGCCAGGTGTTGTGTGGCCCCGCACGTAAAGCACCTTCTCTCCTGGTTCTGCTTGTCGCCAGTCTCCAGTTGATGCGCCCATTTGCACGACTGCCCTCTTCGACATCCAGACTCGGTGAGGAAATATCGACAAGGACCCTTCGCCGATGTCGTTGGCGAGTCCCCCTTCTTCTCTCGATCTTCCCCTTGTAGTGCCTTTACTGCCAATGGTCCACCTCCCTGATTTCCAGGTCTCGTAGTGCTCGAAGACGGTCGGACTCGGTGCATGAGTTGTTCAAGTTCAGCGAGTAAATGCTCAGCATACGTCCGAACAGTCTCCTCATTGGGGATGGTATCAAGCTGCAAGGTGTTTTTGACCAAGGCACATCTGAATTGCAGATCCGGTTGTTGAGTGAGGATCCGCTTGCTGAGTTTGTTGATGCCCTTCATGAGGATGATCGCATCAGGGAGATTCAGGCCAATGTCAGTGGCCCTCCTGAGCCAGCGCATCCAGCGTCGGAGCCCCATGCAGGCTTCGCTTGGCGACCCTGCTTCTGGCGGATCTTCAAGTTGCCGCAGGATGATGGTGCGCTCATGAGCACCACCTGGTTGATAGAGGACCATGAGTTTGCTCACCAGCCCCAGCGGTGACAAAGTCCTCGTTGCTACCAGTTCCTCCTTCACTGGCGTGGGAACTGAAGAAAGCAGCATGCTGATGGCCCTCTTTTCCACTCGAGCCCACTTCGGCTTTTGCAACTCAGCAGACGGCTCGATCTTGGATGATGCCCGCTGAATTGGACGAAGCTTGATGTACTGTTGGTACCAAGCCCTTGCTTCGCTCACCACCAACTCCCACCACTCGCCTGACGAGTCGCTAAGATCTGTCATAGCCGGTTCCACCATAGTGAGCCAGTCAGCAAGGTCGATGGGAGCCGTATCGGATGGCTCTGCCAGGACTGGGAGTGTGGCCGTCCCCGGCTTGACCGACTCCGGTCCTTCTTGCTTCTTGTCCTTGTCGACCAGGTAGGTGATCAGCATAGACATCGCATCAGCCATGCCACCACCGTGCTCTCTTGATGGTTCCTCCCGAACATTTGCTGTTGAAGATCGACCAGGCTGCTCGGCTGTGGCTTTCTTCTTTGGCTGACCCACACCTTTCCCGGTCCCTTGTCTCCCTTCCGGTTCGAAGCCCTTCGCCCGAGATGCCACCAAGCCCTCAGGTTGACCTCCTCCCTGACGTGCAGTTCTCGGACCTTGAGATCTCGACCTCTCTCGTTGTCCTTGCCCCCGACCACCTCGCTTTGCTGGCGCCGGAGTGACCGTCCCCATCAAGGATTGGAGCTGCTCGAACTGTTGCATGGGAGTCAACTCATACAGCCGGCGTCTTTCCACCTCCAAATCTGTCTCTCTCGGAGGCTCGTCGACCGTCAATTCCAGCTGACGATTCACAGGCTCATCGCTTTCTGGCGTTCTGAAAGCCTGCTGCTCCAGCTCACGTTGTAGATCATGGACCTTGGCTTCCAGGCTAGCCCTCTGGTACTTCATGGCGTCCATGAGCTCTGCTTGCTGAATCTGCAGTTGTGATTCTCCTGCTTCAGCATTGCCAACATGGTCATCATCTCCTGTGGATTTGGCGGACCAGGGCCATAGGGATGCAGCTGAACTTGCCATCCTCCTTGATGCGGCATAGGTCCCCTCCTCTCTTCATGGGGCATGATGTACCCAGGTGGGCCAGTTTGTCCAAAGCCTCTCGGAACATGCAGACCTCTTCCTCCAGGCCCGTTCCCTTGGATCTGAACCACCGATTGCTCTCTAGGTTGGGGAGGTTGTCGCCCATCGCTGTCACTTTCAGGCTCTTGTACTTCAGGTACCCGTGGTTCTCTTGGTCGTCCACGTCGCTGGTCATCTGGTACATGGTCGCCCACCAGTGCCGGTGATGGTGTCCCCGTCGTCGTGCTCGTCTGTGGAAGCACTCCCACTGAACCTTCTTCTTTCGGCAGGAACGTGGGTCTCTCCTTTTGCACCTCCTCTGGCGACCTGTTCCCCATACCAGGCTGCCAGATGCTCTGCCTCGGGACTTGAGCATATAGGTGAGGAGCTTGGCTCTGCACTTCATGAAGTCCCTTCAGCTGTTCCGGCGTGAAGAGTGGGGTCAACGGTGTCAAGGTTGTAGGCGGTCCTTTCGGACCTTCAAGGGTCTCTTCCCCTTGATCTTCGCCATCCTCCAAGGCCAGCTGACCCTCTTCCAGCTGCCGATCTTGTAATTGAAGGCCTCCCTGATCGGCTGGGTCCTCTTCTTCATCCCCATCGCCAGGCTGCCTTCGTCTCCGACGAGCCACCATGGACATTGCTTGCAAGCGCGCAGGGCTGCCCGTCCTTGCCCACGGGTCTTACACCTGTCACCTTGGGCTCATAACCTGCAAGGTTCAACGCTCCTATTTTCGAGCATAAAAGCGGCTGTCGAGTGTACACTTCTCGTTTTGTGCGTTTCATCCTTTTGGACGTGCAGTGAGAGATGAGTGTGTGAGAAACGGAGCGACGGAAGAGAAGGAGGAGGAGGAGGAGGTGGAGGAGAAGGCGCAAGGAGTAGAGACAGAAGGACAAAAAAAACATACATTATATACAAAGGTGTGAGGAATAAACTTTCGCAACTACTTTCACAGTCAAGCAACTGAAGATAAATAAGTAGTACAAATAGAACACTAAGTCTGCTAAACGATTAGTATACATTTCTTCTAAGTACATTGTGAGCACTGCGGACACTTAAGCTTTTTGAGATGTGCGATCTGGTCCATTGGCACTCGCTCTCTCTCTCTCTCTAGTGTCAGGGTGCGAGCTGCAAGATCCCAAGTTTGGGTTGCAAGAACGCTGCTCAAACCTCAAAATGACAAGCAAGAAGCTAGTAGTAACAAGGGCATTACTACTGGTAGCAAGAAGCTACTAGGAACAAGGGCATCGCTACTAGGAACAAGGTCACGTGACTCCACAGTACTCAAAACAACATGTGCTGTTGCAGGACCGAATGTGGCCCTGCTACCCTGCTTGGGCTGCGTAGTCTTGCATCCAGTCAACGTAAGAAATAGTAAATAGGACTCTTGACATTGCCTTTTCATCAAAGGTGGGCCCCTGCACTGAAGGCTCTGCTTTAAATTACGGATTTTGATGCTTACGTTCGGTTCAGCAGCAATGTGAGTCTCACACAGCAACTTGCAACAACACAAACTAGGCAAGGTACTTACTGCATCTGGTTGGCGGCCAGCCACTTGCAAAAGCAGTAGAAGTTGCAAAGCTTTCGGCCACTCTGCACTTTTTAACCCAAGCATTGCCTTGGTTTTTCGGTGCCCAGAGCACGAACTATATATTTTCCTAGTGATCTCGGCGTCTTTGTGGCACAGCGAGGAGAGGTCGACGTCAAGATCCGTCGGACAGCGCACGATGAAATTCATTGACAGGAGGCAGCATTGATGTGGAAAACGTTCGTGAATCCAAAAGCCTGCAGCTCTGCTAACGCTTTCTGCCAGCACCTCTGCCTCCAGAAGGAACAAAACCGGGTTGACTCCGGGTTTGGCCGGAAAAATAAGAACGATATATAATGATAACCAATCTGCAGTCGTGAAGAATACCTGACAGGCACCACCAACTCATGAGGCGCAAGTTTGAAAGCCCAGACAGGTTGCAACAGGCCGCAACGGTGAACTGTCATGAGCTCAGGCTACATTCTTCCAGTCCGGTGACATGACAGGTCGGATATGGTCGGACGGCTTGGAACAGGCAAGAATGCTACTCTATTTTTTTTCGGTTCGGTCTTGAACTCGAGTACTCAACTCCCCATTGCTCCGAATAAACGAAGAAGAATGCTTTTCAAACAGTTGGAGACACGCCCCACGAAGCCTTGAAAGCGCTGTAAGCCTCCGGGTGAGATGCCACCTTCGAAGATCAAATGGCCACACAACTAGAAGATACTAGAAGGCTCAAATGGTATTAAAGGCAAAATATGATATAATGTGATTTAATGAACATCGGCAACTTGAATTTCTCTGCATCCGTCTTCATTGATCAATTCAACAAAATGCTTTGTCCAGGCTGACGTCGCTAGCGCAGGCATGGTGGTGCTAACGATGAAGCACGGGCGAGTCGTTCAAACACCCTTGGCCCTGCAGGTTGTACCGGTGGCAAAGCCGTACGTTCCTTACCACCGCCATTGAAGTGGACATTTCCGCTGCTGAAAAGTCGGTGGATAACTTATTGTTTTCTCATATTATGGTATTATTTTGACTGTTGGAAACGGTTGATGTTGCTCCTGGTGTGAGAAGTTACTTATCACAGTCGATCAAAAGATTCATTTATCACAGCATGGTCAAGCTGCCCAACAAGTGCTCAAGCAAAAGGGACGCGAGCAGCTAGCTAACGTTTCGTGAGATCAACAACTCTACTTGGACATGCTCTCGCCTAGATGTCTGCAGCTTCCGGCAACCAAACTCCTTACTGTTTTGTCCACATCGGCCGCACTTGTTGGCATTGACAAGTCGAGTCCATCCAGCCATCCAAATGGTCTCAGCCAAGCATCACTTGCCCTTGTCGCTCTCTCTTTGCATCGCTTCGATCCATGTCCTGCCATTGCACCTCATTGCCCGAAGTGCCTGGGCTCAAAGGGTTCTGAACATGCCGACTCCAATGTGGGATCAACTGAAAGATCGGACCAAGTCGGAACGTAAAAAATCCGAAGCAGAACCGATTTGTTTCTTGTCTGCGGTCCTCGTTGGAACTATTGCAGCGAAAGCTGTGAGACTTGAACGATTTGAACATCTTGCTCAAATACATTGTTGAACATCCTGTATTACTTCAAATATGTGTAACCTTGACCGGCTCAGCCGGGGCAACAATCTCGTCAGGATTAATGCTAACTGCATCAAACTTCTCATTGAAAACTCCTGTACTCTCCTCCATCTCTGGCTCTTTCTCCTCAATTTCTTTGGTCTCAGTCTCCTGGGAAAAGAACTCCTGAAAATGGATCACCTGCATGGAACTGAAGCTTTCCACGCGACACAACCAATGGGAGACGGCCTCCTCTGTCAATCCAAAATCTCTGGCAAAGTCTCGTGCCGGAACTAGTGGACACTTGGCATTTTGCGCTTTCTCCTCTCCTTTCTGTAGATTGTATGTCTCCAAGGAATCGGTGAGGTACTTGATAACCTTCTTCCTTGGAGGCAGCCTGTGTTTCCTTTGAAGATGTAGACTCAAAGTCATGGAGCAAAGATCGCTGAAAAAACTCTTTGTACACTGCAGCTGCCCGCATGCCTCTTTCACTTCCACAAAAGCATCCACGATAATTGCCAAAAAGAAATTCAGCAACGTGAAGAACACCTCACTGCAGAATTTCTGGTTCCGCGTATCAGAACCTTTTCACACCTCTTAGTTTCCCTCAACCCGCTCGGAGAGGGAAACACAACTGCACAAAATGCATGTGAATGAACACAAGACCAAGTGGCAATGAGCATAAAAGATATAGCATAAAGCCAATACATTGCTAGTGAAGTCCCTGAGAGCATCTCCACTCCTTCTGCGTAGATGAACTCACCGAAAAGCATGCGAATCTGAGCAGAGCAAGCACTCCCAAACGTACCAAAAAGATGGATCCGACCTCCCAGCAAGAAGTTCGCCATGAAGGCCAGCATCAAAAAGAGAATTGCAAAAATGAAAAAGAAATGCATCATGTTGTGCAAAGCCCTCTGCACAGTGGAAGTCAACATCGCCACCCTGGGATGGACATTGAATGCTAAGACCATCTGGAGGAATTGCACATAGAGAACCACATATGAAGCGATGCGATGTCGTTCAAGCCAGGCAGCTTCCTCATAGATCACGCCTTTCACCTCCAGAGGTGACCAAGTAAGCAGCAATCTTTCTCTAACAAAAATGCGGTTGGAAACACCAGCTAAGAGCTGGTAAAAGACAAACAACAAAATGAAACAAAGAACTAGTAACAAGTAGGAAGAAAGGGCATCGCTACTAGGAGTAAGGACGCTACTAAGGTGGAGGCCATTACTACTAGTAGTCCTCGCTACTAGTAGCTCCTGGCATTACTACTAGGAACAAAGACGCTTGTGTTTGCTGCAGATTTGCTTGATTTTAAGAAGCGTAGCGCATCTCTCGAAAAGCGGCTCAACTGACTTGAGCCTTTAATTCACATTTTTTCTAATTGTCACTGTTGGAAGATGCACATGTTGTACTGCATTATGCAGCCCTTTTCCTAGCAAGATGCCTGGACTGTTTTGGACATGACATTGGTTTGAATCCTTCTCAGGTTCATGCTGCATGGGCATCAGCAGGCTATGAGCCCCATGCTAAGACGCCCGCTGGCCCGTTCGCTCTGACAAGAAGTTTCCATGAATTTCCCCATAGCACAGCCGAGCGAGAAAAGGCGGTGCTTGCTTTGCCTCCTATGACCCCGAGGCTTCATGAGGAAGCAGCTCCTAAGGAGAAGGAAGCAAAGGAGCGAGGGTAAGAACTTATGAAAGAGGAGAAAGGAGAACTAAAATGGTGTTCAGCACCTCCACCACCGCTGGCCTCTGATCCCCTCAGCTTCTTCGCCAAGGACCAGCTTCGAGATGCCGCTGCCAGGAAAGCACCGCAAGTCTTCGGCTCCTTGGTTCCACCCGCAAGTCTTCGACTCCTCATCAAGGGAGTTCCTGAAAGAAGAGGAAGCCAGGTATGAAGGAAAGAGAAAGGGGGAAACAGGAAGACGGGAGAGGACAAGTGAGGAGGCTGACGTCGTCAGGGCCCTCAGGGCCCTGAGCACTTTGACTTTGAGGCTCTTACAAGACTTTGCCACAACAGGAACCCTATGAACAGAAGCTGGAGGTTGAGGGCTTGGGCGCAACAAACATCGTGGGCCCTTGCCCTGGAATGATTGAGAAAAGTCCAGGCAGCATTGAGGCTGCTCTAGGGTCGTTGCTTCCCAGTCCAAGTGTTGGTAGTTGGACTTGGGGGGCTCTGCAGCTGCTGCATCCCCCCACTTGGCAGCATGCATGCAAAACAGCGTCGCTTCTTGATCTAAAGAGAAGGAGTGTTCCAAGGTGAGCGGAAGCGGTGTGAGGTTGAGGAGAAAAGATAGAGGAAAAACTAAAATCAAGGAATTGTCGTAGATGATCAGACCGGAACTCGATCCAATGGCTTGGTTGTCTTGATGCTCTTTGTCAACGTCCTACGTGGTGGAGGGATCGGCCACAGCTAGCTGGATGCTGCGAAGTGTTGCCCTGCATGAGGTTGCCTGTGTTTGCCATCTTGGCTCATCTGCATGTGGCCTACGTCTCGGAGGTGTCAGTGAGAAGCAAGAAGGCTGTTGAGGAATTTGGTAGAGCCCAACGAGCGCAATGCACCATATACACGACACTGGCGTCTGCCCGCTTTGGAGACTGGGTGTCGGTGCAGGTGCCTTCGGTGTAGGTGCTGTTCCGGATTGTTCTGCAAGTCAGCTGTTTGGAGAGCGTGGCCGTCGAAGCACCTTGTTGCAAAACCTGCCTTTTTTTGCATTTTAGATCCTGCCTTGCTATTGGGGTCTATGCTGTAATTTAATGCATTTTATGGTATCCGTCGGGAATTGCTAGCCACAGTCAGGTGTTTCCAATCTTTCAGCCAAGCCTGCACGTGGCCCCTTATAGTTTGATGAGCACGAGCCGAAAATAGATCGGCCCCACACGCGTCACACAAATGTTTAATTATTGCACATTTGCAGGGTTGTAATTTAATTATCCCCGGCATTCTGACCATCTACAAGGTGTCAGAAACCAACCCCTGCCGACCTTGAAGTACTCCGCTAAACTGTGCTGCACATGCTCTTGGTCCATGCCCTCATTTGCCAGGAATGTCCCCACAAGCAGATCATATTCGTGTGACATTGGAGCTTGGTGACTCCAAGAGATCAGCAGAATAAGTGGATAAATCAGCAGAACCAAGCGAGAGATGATTGCATACAGCATCAGTCCCAAGTTGTACTGGTCTGGGTGGCAGCACAAATATGTGACTAAAGACACGAGGGCGATGAAAGCACCCACACATGTGGTTGCCAAGCACCCTGCAAAGTTGGAGGCAGCTGTACGAATGAGGTCTCGATATGTCACCATGTGCACAGCCCCCTCCACGTTTCCGGCGTAGTCAAAGGTGAACTCAACCGTCAGTGAAGTAAACATTTCCACACCCTCTGTGTAAACCATAGTGCTTACGGAGACGGTATCAGTTTGCATGTCAATCCAACCAGCTTTCTGCATTGATGTTAAAGCCTTGTCACTTTCTATCAGCATCTCTGCATAGACTGGTTCTCCATGAAAGTTTTGCTTCAATCCAATGCCAACTTTTCCATCAACACATCGATGGCTTGGGGTGTGCTCTGGACAGTCCATGTACAGGGCATATTCTGAGGACTGTTTTTGAGAACGGTCCACACAAGTCAAAATCTGACCTCGCTTCTTCCCATCCATGGCTGGTAACAGCGACAAGAGTGGATTATAGTTTTGCTCCTGCGTAAGCGCTGCATAGCCATGACATTCTGTCTCACGCAAACGGCTCTGATACACAACAAATGGAAGCAGCGATACTTGTGGCTTGCCAAATCTTTTCATCTTCTCGTATTCAAAGGGGGCACAGTAGCCACAAGTTCTTGGACAAAGAAGAATTCCCAAGTCAATCTGACATGCATGGCTAGCATCTTCATGGCATGTCACATTCTTGTCTTCCTCTAGTTGGTAAGCTGTATCGTTGTCCTCGCATGGTGGGCTTTGGTGTGTCGCCTCACTTGATGCACCTCCTCCGAGTCGTCTATGACCTCAAGGAAGGCCGCTGTGGCTCAAACGCGAGGCAAGTCACACCGAGTGTCATGAATCGGACTTTAAATTCTTATTGTTACTACTAGTAAGGCACCTGTTACTAGTAGCTTCTTGCTCCTAGTAGCGATGCACTTGTTTCTAATAGCAAACATTGTTACTACTAGTAAGGCACTTGTTACTACTAGCGATGCACCTGTTACTAGTAGCGTTTTGATAAATGGTTTTTCATCTTTTGAAGTCTTGAAATCAGTTCTGGTTGTACTTCTTGCTGGCATGCACGGACAGCACAAGTGAATACTACATGTCTCCCGGCGTCTTTACACCATCGCAGGGATTCCAAACTTATAACAATAAATGTAGTAGGTTGGAGGCCACCGCTATTAGGTTGGGGGCCACCGCTAGTATGTTAGAAGAACCCAGCATACAAACCATCTCAATGGTCCAATAACTTCTCAGGCCTGATGTTGTGCTGTCGTTGCTCCACGCAGGAGCACTCTGCAAACCCAATGAGGTGTACCTTGGACTGCTGCAAGCCGTTCGCGGGATCGCATAATGATCATCCCAAAGGTACTGAAAGTAGCGATGTTCACACCAATAGCGCGTAGAAGTCGGCCTCATGTCCAAGTTCTTTATCTCAAAGGTCTTTACGAAGTCATAGATCCCAGCAACATCTTTCACCGCAGCAACGTCTTCGAGCTGAAAGTGAGCTTCCAAATGTTGATGAATGGCGGAGGTCTCTTCAGCAGGACTTAAAATACTGATAGCCACCAAGAAGCAAAGAAGGCAAAGCAAGAACAACGGCATCGTTTGAATAAAATCCATCAAACCATCTTCCAATCTCATCCTTTCCAACATCACATCCGCCCGCACATGACACCCGTCGAAGTCTGACCGCACCTCTTCTGGCGAAAGGATTTGGCCAGAAGAGGCCTTTGCAGTCTTTTTTGGCTCGGGCACCTTTAGGCTTCCGCCTCGATTTGTAGGTCTCGGTTTGCCTCGACCTTGACCTCCCATTTGAGACGAACAAAGGTCCAGGCAGGCCTAGAGTCTGGTCTGGCCACAGGGCGGCTTGCCCTGAAAACTTGGAACAAAGCCTTGAAACTTGAAACAGCTGGCGGAATGGGAATCTTTTGAAGGTGAGTTGATGAGTTCATGCATACACTACCTCATTCAACAATACCTAAGGCAGTGCTTTACTTCGGCTGAGCCAAGGTGCGCATCTTCCAGGCATGAGCCTCCGCTGACGGTGGGTCTGGGAAATGGTCATGTGATGTAAATGCGGTTCAATTAAAGAGGCAGAACAATTGAAGGATATACATATCAAATAAATTAAGTACAGTAATATCGCATCAACTATCGCATCAATATACCCAAAGGCTGCATTGTTATTCAAGGATGCAGGACGCAGCATGCAACATGATGCGAGCAAAGCAAGTTTACTCGTCTCCAAATGTGGGCCTCTGTTCTTTTCTTGCACATCCATTGAAATACTTTGGGGGCTTAGCCTGACCGGAAAACTGCTCAGTCATGATCTAAGTGGCTTTGTACAAATAGCTTGAGCCTTCGATCGTAACAAAAATCCGTCTGTTGGGTTGCCAACCAATAGCCTCAAAGTTGCAATTTAGACTGTAGTTTTGGTGGGTCTGCGTTCTCTACTGTACTCTAAGCTCCATTTCTCATATTTCTACGCCAGTGCATGGCCTATGCCATCATGCCATCAAACAAGCTGCAGCGTCATGGCATGCTGTGGCCAACGTTGCGCTTCACAACACCGCAATTCTGGTTGAAACCTGCACGCCGTCTTTCTGTTTCGCACCATGCCATGACAAACACAACAAATACTTGAGGCAAAGTAGCTTCGAGGCATGAAGTTCAACATGCAATCTCAGTCTATCTCTATCTGCTTACTGATCTCCTTTTCGTGCACTGCCAAAGGCTTGGACGCAGTTGACAAGTTGGAACTCACAGCTTGCTGACACTGAAATCTCTCGCCGGGGACGCTGGGGTTGCTGCGCTCTCCGCGTGGCCTGCTGTCACCATTTAGGATGTGGATGTGGCTGGTACTGAGGGACTGTCAATCTTATGTAGGCTTTGCCTAAAGCGAATCAACTGTTTTTCTACATGCAAACCTTCTACAGTATATATCCGATGTTTTGCACGCTCTTCTTTGATGGGTGGAACGGGTACGGTCCAAACCCGAGAGCTCGAGACGAAAGAGCAAAGAGTTCATGCCATGCTCCGAAGTTCCGAGAGTTGCTGGCGACTGCACGTGTTTGGGCCGGAAAACTTCCAAGCCGAACGTGCCGGTGCTAAGTCGCGGTCAAACCTGAACTCTGTTTTACTACTAATGCCCTCTGCTACTACTCCTCAAGAAACTTTCGACTCTCCTCAAGAAAACTCCAAATAAATTGCCACATTTATCACTTCAAGGTTGGAGTGATTGAAGGTGTGTCGCTTGTCACCATGCTCTAGCTGTCGTGGCTATGGGTTGCATCGAAATTCTTTCCATATGGGAGTCGGAGCCTTTCCGTGAGTTGGGTTGCACTTGCTGTGCCGCACAAAAGGCCGCAAACACATGCTACTCACTGGCCACGTGTTTGGAAGCGTTGTGGACCTTTCGTCAGAGGCCTGTTGGCCAAGCTGGCTTGGCCAGCTGTAGAACTTGCATGATCTGCTGGGTCAGCCTTGCCTAGAGACTCTTCTGGAAGCTGAACCTTAGAAAGAATAGAATAGAATACGCTGCTTCTTTTCCTCGGAAATGGTTGCCAATATCTTGGTGAACAAATGGACAGCATGAAATTTAGTGTAGTAATGTGTAGTAGAAGGCCGCCAGCTCTCTGTGGTCTGTTGGGTCTCTTGTTGCGTTTGCTGATTTCAGGCCTCTGTTCTGTGCCTGCTCTGGGCTCCACACGCTTTCGCGACCTCCAAGGTTGAGGACAGAATCATCCCTTTCATTCTTGGACACTACCGCTTCCAATAGAGCGCGCAAAAGCTTGGCACATCTGACAAAACATGTTGCCACAGAAGCATGAACACGACCGCTCTCGGCTGCTACAAACCCGCAGCCCTCATCATGCCCGGCATGCCCCCTCTGACAATACACGCAGGAGCCACCTTTTTCTCGAAGACTGGCGCCGCCTTGAATCTGAATTGGGAAACAGGAGATTTTGAGAATATACAACTCATTCAACTAATCTTGAGATTGAATCTCTTATTCGACCACCTCTGGCAAGAGAATCCGTAAGCGAATTGTCTGAAGGCTGTCAATCTTGTGAATGTCTCAAGCTCTTGAGTTCCTTCCACACCGCTTCTTGGCCCTTGGCTCTCTGGAAGACGCCTGGGCTGCCAAGCGTCAAACGCCAAGCGTCAAACACTCAGCTTGATCGATATCAATTAATGCAAAAGCGACGTGAACCTCTTACAGCAAAACAGTGAACATGCTGGACAGTAAAAGATGCAAAAAGACCAGGAGCCCCTAGTAGCGTCCTTGTTCCTAGGTTTGGGGGCAAAACAGGACATGCGCACAACAGACTTAGGCTCATGCTCTCTTCCGGGAGCTCCTGGTCAAATGGAAAGGGGCAGCATCTTGCAAATACTTGGCACTAGAACGCAATTTGATTCACGGTCCGTTGTCAGGCTGGTAACAACGTTTTGAAGGGAAAACATCGAATTCAATACCTTGTGCTTTTCTGATTTTCTCTGCTCCAAGCAAAGGTGTTCAACATGAATGCAACTGCTTCGTGCAGTACCTCGAAAGCTGAGGCTTGAGGTTGAGATGGGCAAGGCACAATCAGGACACAAAAATGTATATATATTCTGATTTCACATGAAAGCAACTTGTCACAAATTTCCACTCGGATGTGCCATGCACGAGCTGATCGCACTTCCAGGCAGCAAAGCTCTGAGCTGCGAAAATACGCAAATCTACAGAGATACGCTGTGAACGCCTGAGCTCTTCAGAGTTCCCTCAAATTCGCTCTACAGAGATACATCGAAATACATCGAAATACTGATTCTCAGATTCAGCTGATACTCAGTTCCTTAGCCATTCACGTAGACATTCTCATAAAGACTCCACCATGAGAATCTTTCACAGGATCCCTGAGGTCATGGCCTAGTAGGCCTATTAGGCCTGTAAACCCATATGTCCTATTCTCTCCTCGTCTTTCCTTCGTTCCTCCTGGATTTGCCTTTCCCATCTTTGCCTTTGCCATCCTTTCCTTTGCCTTGCTCTCCCTTGCCATCACCTTTACTTTCTTCCGGCTTGCTTTTAGGCCTCAGGCGTACATGCCCCAGAATGCTCCTAGTAACTGGCACCGCCTGCAATTTCAAGCTGTGCCACCCTCATCCTCCACATGCTTCCAAGGTTGAGACGGGCCCTTCTTTTTAACTGTTAGCCAACTGCCATCCTGCAAAAGCAAAATAAGTGTGCTGTGATGCATGCATCGTCCTTGAAGAAAAGAAGACGGCTGGAATGCATCAGCTTTCTTGTCACAAAGAGCCCGGCCGTAAATGGGAAGCTGTTCAGTGCTCGGATGGCCTGTGCTCAGCAATTGCAATGGCAACCATGACACGCCAGCGAAGAGTCTTGTGCTAGTGGAAATTTGTGTCCCCCATGTTTCAAGACTGAGGAAGGTCATGGGGGCCTTCTGAGCAGAGTCGGAGTCAATGAAGTTCACAAAGCCAATACCTGTTGTGTCCGAAAATGGTTTTCAACCATGTCTCACTCACGAGTGTTCAATCTGACACCTGTGCACTTTCCAGTCTCTTTGTCCTGCAGTGCTGTAGCACCTCCAGCCACATGTTCGAATTGCGCGTTTTGACTGCTAAACAGGAAGACAGTGTGTCTTTTGAGCGACAGATAGATAGATAGATAGATAGATAGATAGATAGCGATAGCATCTTTCCAACATTGTCACCTCTTCGTTCTATCCGAGGCACCTCGAGGTGCTATGGCTCCAAAAGCTGAGAAAAGTTGATACCTGAGACAGTCTTCAGGCGTGCATGCGCTTGAAATCGCTTGGAAATCGCTTGAATGCCTGAATCAACACGGCATTTCGCCAGTTTGAAGCAGGCCTTAAAGATTTCATACGTAAGATTTCACTTGAACAACTTCAAGAGAATCATGGCACATCTTGGCATCACCACATGAATCACCTATGTGCCTCTGTATGCTATTGATGCATGCCTTTAACTCTTCGAGAGCATCAACAATGCTGACGGGCTACATTTCCAAATTGGTCATGTCGGACGGAAGGCCAGCAACAAAGATGGTGCTTTCATCACTGCGCCCATCAGGCATGGCCTGTGCCTGAATGATCGACCTTCGTTTGCAAGCGCCAAGGTTCAAACCTTGAGGGAATTCATAGATGTAGGGTGGACAATGCACTGGCGTGCGCAAATCTCTTGCAGCTATTTGCTCTGAGCTCCTGCTTTGAAATATTGATATCTCCTTTTTGGAGGACATATTCCGCCGGACTTGGCTTCTTAAGACTTGCCCCTTCGGTATCACAAGCCACCTACAAATCTATAGATTATGGTCTTTCTGGCTTTTCTTTAGCCTTTCTGCACTCCATGCGCTCAACTAAGCGTTGCCTGCAAACCCATTTTCCAATGCAATTTGGTTGTAGCTGAATGATTCTTCACGTTGCAGTATACATTCTACAGCAAAGAGGTGCTTCGAGTCTTCGAGAAAAAGAAACTTCATGTGCCAACCAAGAAGATGGCATTGACAATTTATAGAAAGACTTCAAAAAATCCATCTACCCATATCGACCTCATCTACCTCGCCTCACCAATCCTTTGATCTCTTTCGGGGCGCCATCCGTATTGTCGTTCTTGCCACCTTTGCCTTTGTCATTGTAAGAAGTGCCTAAGCCATCAGTGGCATTGAGCTGCTGAGCAATTAAACCAAACAACCATGGCACATCAGTGCCAAACAAGTACGCTTGCCGACCCTCTGTGACCCTCCCTGCTGAGTTACCTTTGCCATAGTCAGGCACGCCTTGGCTCACATCAATGCACTTGAGTATGCTCGCGAAGGCACAAACGGATGCTTCAGTAGGTGCTACAGTAATTACTGTCAGGAGTGCATCTCATAGGCGTTGTAAAAGTGCCAAAACCATTGGACCATATTGCGAAAGGGGAACTGTGACTGTAGCTCCCACCATAGCTGGCATCATAATTCTCATAGCTTCCATCATAGCCGTCATAGCCGCCATGACCTTTGCCGCCGTAGCCATATGAGCTTTGCATCGCTCCACCTCCGCCCTTGCCGTGCCATGAGTTCCAATCCCATTGGCCTTGCATCTTGTTAAGCCTTGAGCCCTTGGACAGCAGCTGAATGTTAGAGCCTGTAAGCCGGTCGAGTCAAGATCCATCAACAAACGGAATAAGCGCACAAGGAGCACCAGGCAAATATCCGTCACATGCAGGACCAGTCTGGTGGTTTGCGCCCTGAATATGGCATCCTTCACTGAGGCTTTCAATCATTCAACTCTTCCATTGAATTCCATCAGTGTGCTGCCAAAGCCTCCAAAATTCATGTTCTAAGTCTTGTAGGCCAAACATGGGAACAGTACATGTGTGGTTTGGGACGCAAATACCGGCAAAACTTTGATCGGTGCACATTGTATTAGCTCAGCTGGCTTCTCCTCCCACACGGTGGGCTTGTTTTCGGCCCTCAAGAACATGTATATTTGCAGTGAGCGGGTGTTAGTGTTGCTTTGGGATAGGAACTATGACAATGATGTACAGTGATTACATGAATTGCATATGAAGCAATGGTGCTTCTGCTTCCAGTGCATGCTTGAGTGGTTCAAGTGGCAAACACTAAATATAGCTCAACACAGAAGAGAAAGGCTTGATGGAGATGAGGAAAAACAACTGCCCCATTTGATATCCTCACCCTTGAAGTGGAGGGGGGAGGCATTGGATGAAGGCCGTACCTGCAGGCAATGAAGTGTAAGGAGGGAAGCTATTGCCTAGCAGGCCAGATTGAAACCAATTGAAGCCATCACTCACCTGTTTCATTGACATGAAGGAGAGGTATGGCTTGTAAAGGGCAATGCATGTTTCAATCCACGTGATTAATAAATCTGCCCTAGTTAATCCGAGCCCACAAAGCCGCCGGAAATTGCCCAAATTAAAAAGTATTATTGGCTGTTGATTTCCCCCCCCTATGGTCTAGTTTTCTACCAACAATCCCCCCCAGTTATATAACCCGAGCCCACAACCAGGTCAATTTTTCGTATTACTACTACTCCTACTGCTACTGCTACTACTACTCCTGCTGCTGCTGCTACTGCTACTGCTACTGCTACTACCACGACCAACACCACCTACCACCTACAACAAGGGCCGGCCCCCATCAATAATCTGCACTACTACCCCCTATTAATTTGATCCTGTGTCCCTGGCCTTTTCTTTGTGCTTGTTTAAACTTGTTGTGACTACTACTACTACTACGACGACGACGACTACTACTACGACGACTACTACGACTACTACGACTACTACCTACTACCTACTACCTACTACTACCTACTACCACCTACTACTACCTACTACCTACTACCTACTACTACCTACTACCTACTACTACCTACTACCTACTA